ACAAGCACCTGATGTCTCGACGCTCTCTGATGAGGCGCTGCAAGAGCAGCTGACAGTAGCACAGCACGAGGCCATGGAAGCAAAGGCCGAGTATGAGCTTCGCAACAGAATCACGCACAACGTACTCGTCATGGATCCTGTGCTCAAGGCCGTACATGGAGATGCGGACACCAGGGCTGCTGAAAAGTAGGTCAACTTGCCATGAAAACCTGTTGGGGGGTCCTTTTCTCATCGAGTGCAGACGTCTTCTACCCCTGATTACGGAAAACAATATAGTCTCGATGGTGCATGGTGCACAGACTACGAAGCTTGCGTCTGTCACTCGTGCTTTGAGTACGGCGGAGCAGGCCAACATGATTGCCAATCGCAAGAATCGAGAGCTGGCTCAGAGGATGCTTGCGCTGGCTGAGGACATGAAGGCGCAGTCTGTCAAGGACATTGAGGACCCTCAGTTACGAGCCCAGGTGGATGCGGTGGAGAAGGCTCTGAAAGAGTCGAGACGGAGGAAGAAGACGGTGAAGGGTATTCTGTCGGCCATGATTGTTGGGAGTGGTATTCATTGGGCTGCCGATGCGGAACTGACTGAGCTGGTCATGGATGATGATGATGGTGATGAATGATGGCAGGGAGTGAAGGATGCAATGTAGAAGACGCACTGGCATGAAACATGGACCGAAAAAGGGTTTATCCCAGAGAGTATGTAGTATTTGCCTACTACTATTGCCATGGAGAAAGACGACTACTCGCAGATAGTGCGCCACATGGCCACAAGCGCCACTCATCACTACCATGCCATGCCTACAGGCTGCTCCCAGGCCTGAAGCTATGTATGGAGAAGCAGGCAGACACAAGTACTCTAGACAGTGGAATCGGAGAGCAGGGCTTGGGGTTCACGCGGGAGGATGAAGTGCTAGTCTAGATACAGTAGGTAGGGGTGGGGGTGGGTAGAGTACATGAGATGATCATGCAAGGAGACGGGATGGCTCCCTCGTACTCTACGATTGGGTCATGTTTGTTTGGATGGGACACGGTGGTAGTATACCGTACACAGACACAACGTCATTGGGGTTGCTGCAGAGATGGGCTGGGCATCTTACGGGTTACACAGATGCCAGTCAGTAGAGTAGAGTAGAGTACTACTCTAGTAGTAGAGTACTCTACTCTCGTGAGCACGGCACCCTCTGCTTCCGCTGTCGTGACGGAGGCGGGGGCCAGGAGGCAGCACGGCTGCTGTTTGGGTGAGAGTGGTGGGCAAGCGAGGTAGTAGTAGTAGTAGTTGTTGTTGTTGTAATAGTAGTAGTAGTAGTAGTAGTAGTAGTAGTAGTTGTTGTTGTTGTTGTAATAGTAGTAGTAGTAGTATGTGGTGTGGTAGGTGCAGTGCAGAGCTGTGCAGACCCTGCGCTTCAGTCGGGTGTGCCGTGTGGAGCAAAGAGGTGTGTGTCTCTCTCACTTTCTTTGTGTGTGTGTGTGTGCCCTGCATACCGAACCCTACCGAACCCTACCGAACCCTACCGAATCGGCCAATGGAGCTCTCCAGAATAGCGACAGTCCGTATCCCACATCCTGAGGGGTGTGCTAGGAACCCTACCTGGACCTGGTCTGTACTCTACATACATGGTACTGTAAACTGTGTGCTCTGCTGGCAAACCATCCACCCCACCGACACAAGCATCCCACCAGGTACGACACAACAAAGAAGGGCACAATCATCAAAGCTCTCGGGTAGCACCCTGTGCCACTGTGCTCGGCT